CGGGGTGGCTCGATGATCAGTTAAGGGGCGCTAATTCGCAAAATAAGGTGATTTTAGGTGATTTTTAACTACTTGACTGTGATTTGAAACCAGAGTCAGTAGGCATATAATCTTAGGTAAGCATGTGGTTAACATAAGCAAGAATTTAGTCCCTTCCGACGAAATTTGACCCTACCAGCGTCACCACGGCGTCCCCACCGATCGATCTAACATGACGTTGTTATGTGGGTGTTTTATAGATTATTGAGAATGGTAATATCACCGAAAAATAGATAAAATGACAGTTGAATGACCAACAAAGATAATTGAAGACAATAGTTCGTCATTAGAAGTTATTTAGTATAACTTTATTCGGAAAATTAATCTCAAAATCGAGTTGCCGTCCCCGGCGTTGTCAGTGACGTCGTATGATTTTACCAATTAACACTAAAGTAAAATATAGTTGAGCCATGTAGTAATTGGAAATCAACCCAGAAACCCGGTAGTTCGTTGATTGTTTATTGGTAGCATCCTTTCGCTGCCAAAAACAGTTTTTTGGCAGTTGTGTCCCGGTGACATCCCCTTTTCAAATGTCAAAAAAATAACCAAAATAAATTTTAAGTTTTTAAGTGCCATTCTCCAACTTTTTCTCATGCAGCCTCAAACATGAGGGGGCTCAGGTGGATATATTTATTTTTCTAGTTTTTATGTATGAAATTACCATTTTCCGGCATCAAAATTCCCCAACATTTTCTCACCTCCAGCCTCATCCATGATGGGGATATGTGGATATAGTACGGTGATTTTTGTTGTTTTTATGTATTAAAGTGCCATTTTCCGGCATCTAAAAGTATGTAATTCTTACAATTGCTTTACCTCAACCTTGGTGGGCTGAGGTAGATGGATTGGAATCTTTTTTCATAAATTTTAAGTATCCGAGTGTTGTTTTGCTGCATCTATAAAGTCTCAATTCTTGCAACTGACTCATCTGCGCCACAAAACCATGGTGTGGCTCAGGTAGATATCGTAAATTTTGTACTATTCAAGTGCTTTTTGTGCATCTAACGAGTCTCAACTTCTCAAAATGTTCTCACCTGAGCCCCAACCATAGTGGGGCTCAGTTGAATATGGTAGTTTTTAGAATAGTACGTACTTAAATTTCTTTTTTTGGTACCTAATTAATTAATTGGTGTTTTTTTTTTACTCAATTCGTCAAAAACATTATTATTTAATAGGTAATGTAAGTTCTATTTTGGGGCATCCAGTGGTATAAAATACTGAACAGTTTGCGTCACCGCCAACCCACGATGGCACTGACGTGATGTGGACTCTGGTTACATTAGCACCCTGTTCTTTAAATTATGGATACGCCACTTTGCTGAAAACAATAGTTAAGACAAAATATATATTTCCATTCGTTTTGTTGTTCATGTAAATGTCTGATAGGATATTACTTTAAAACAATGTTAAAAACACAGTGTCAATACGAACATTTACACATGTACGACTCCGAATTAAGGTGGAATTAGTAGTGGTTAAGTGACGTTTGTCATGCACTGTATTATGGGCTATAGAAATGAAAGACCATAATGTAATGGGAATGAGCCTCTCTGGTATTGCCGACAGTAAAATCAGTGTAAAATATAGGCCAGTGTGGATTTAAACAATGTCCTAATGGCAATGTTCAAAATAAATGTAAATCAAATAAATATGACTGTTGGGGTGAGAGGGGGGTGTATATTTTTAGTTAGGCAGTTATATACTGTCTTTATGTCTAAACAAACTTTAATTTTAACACCGTGTTTCCATTTTAAAAGCTCCTAAGAGTTTCGTGGAGGTCCTTTTCGTCACTCTGTTTTTGAATATGTATATGGTTGAGTTTACGTCAAAAAAATTGGCAAATATTGATGCGGAAATTATTATCATCATAATTATTTATTTTTTTTATACTAAAGGCGTTCCATATTTTTGTACCTTCTGCATTGGCACCGCCCACTTACCTTACCAAACCAGAAGGAAGGGACAAGGAAATATTAATAATGTAGTGTTCTAAATCAAATTTTAAGTATATTATACTATTTTTTTTAATTTGACGAAAGAAGAAGTTAGCTGGCTTTTGACCTGAGCATAGGCCTAGGCCTACAAAACAAAGAATGAAGCCTGGCTGGGCGGTGGAAGACGGCAGGCAGGCCCTACCCCTAGGCCTGATCTAGGCTAGCTAGGCCTAGGCTAGGGCCTAGCCTAGGCCTAGCTAGCCTAGATCAGGCCTAGGCCCTAGGTAGTCTAGATACCGCCTAGGCCTATATTTACAGGTTTTTTTTGTTTTTTTTTGCCCACGCCCTGTTCTAGCTCAGATAGCTGAGCCTAATCTGTACCTAGGAAAGCTAGAGTTATAGTTATACACAAACACTACATTCTGGCATGGAGTCTCGGCTACCGGGCTAGCAGCAGTATTAATTATTGTTTTTTGGCTCTGTCTGGATGTTGTTCCCTACCGGACCAGATAAATCAATACAGATTATATATAAAGATTTCTTCAATTGTCTTTTCATAATTTAGAAATATGAAACTGTAAGAAGAGATTGATTCCATGATGGTTTCTAGAATTTCAGTCACCAGTTTACCCGAAAATGTGGTTCTTGAAATATTTTCCTACCTCAGTATTCCAGAAAGGTGCCAAATTGCAAGGTATATATTAATGAAATAGTACATCACATACTGTATGCTTATAACAGTGTAGTACATTATAATTGCTTTAATACTGGTATTATCCCTTATGAAAACCTGTATAAATTATGTTACTGTCATACTTTTAAAATATGTTGCTGTTTATTTTCAGGGTATGCCGTTTATGGAGCCATCTGATAAGGGACAAGTATTTGTGGCAGTATGTTGACCTTACATCTAATCCAATTCCACCCAAAACCCTCTGGAAGGTCATCCGAGGTTACTTGTCGGATTCACTTCGCTCTTTGTCACTTCACGGTTTTCTGTACTCCGTAAAAAAAACTGATTGTTTGTCGCATGCTCTGCTGGAAGAACTCTCATCACGTTGTCCCAAACTGACGTGCATACTGATTCAATGTGCAAACCTTACTATGATAAAATCGCACAAATTTCCACGCAACTTGAAACGATTATATATCGTACACTGTGAGGTAACACCACATTGGCTTAAAAGTGCGGTTGAAGAAAATCGCCTCAAAAGTATGGAGGAGCTCAGTTTTTGCGACTCAAAACGCTTTTCTGACATCGATATTGATTATGTTTCCAAACTCACAAACCTGAAATTACTTAATCTGAATAACTGTTATAGAATAACCGATGAGGCCGTGAATAAACTGACAAACAGCTTACTTGGATTGAAAACATTAATATTGAGTGGATGCTCAATTACAGACTTGTCGATACATTTTGTAAGTCATCGATTGAAAAACATACAGACTTTGGACATTTCTCGATGTACTACATTAACAAATTCTAGCCTTGCCATTCTTGGGTTTCCATACTGTCCAAGATTTTTAAAAGTACAAGGTTGTAATTGCCTACTAGTTCAGGATCTTGCTAAAGTTGTAAAAGCTAACTCAGGACTAATAAGTATAGAGTTCAAAGAAGATGATGAAATCAAATTTCTCACCCAAGCAAATTTTGATAGTTTTTTAAAGAATTCAGAGGAACAAGAACAACAAGAGTAATAGTAATTGAGATTAATAGTTAATAGTTTTAAATAAATTTTGGTTTTGAGACTCAATGACAAAGTGGCCACTGATTATATAAAATCAGAGGTGGGCATAAAAATCAGTCTGAGGGCCAAAGTCGGTCGTGTAAGGGCGAGTCATGGAGCCCTGGGGGAAAGAAAGTGTTGGGTAGACAATGTCAAAAAATATTGTGTGACTATTTAACAATAAATTGAAGTAATATTGTGCACACACATATTTAATTTTGATATTTGCTGCAACGTATAAATAAGATCTATGCATACATCGTCATTCCGAAAAAATAGAAAAAAGAGAAGAACATTTTTAGAAAGTCCAGAAAGAGGAGAGCATGTTACGTACTGTAAGCCTACTCCAACAATATAAGCTAATCTTCGATTTAAATTCCATCAGTGTCTATGCGTCTGAAGCATTTCTAAACAAAATCTGAACACCACCCCACTCGGTAATTCACTTGTCGCATAACACCTACCTAGCTTTTTCTATAGATCCGCTCCTGGTTATATTCTGTAAGGGACCATTCCAACATTTAAATAATCAACCCTATTAAAACTACAAAAATTCAGAGACGGATAGAAATTTACTTTCCACATAATTTGTTGGCCTACGACTTCTGTATCACTTTTTTTTTAAAATTTATTTTATCTTTAGAACTGTGTAAATCTCAGGAAAAGTCTTGGCACATACACGCAATGTATATTCAAACTGATGTTTTCGATTGTTGATGCTTTTCTGTCCTCTAACAGTCTCCAGTACGTTTTTTTAATTTAATCTTTTTTTTTTTTTTTTTTTTTTTTTGGTTTCTTTGTAAGGAGCACCTTCTTAGTGATAATGTATATAATATTCTGCAGTTGCTTTCATCCAAATTATTTTATTTTGGTTTTATGAATTAATGAATTACTTCTCGGTTGTAATAATTGATGGGAAATTTACCTTTATTAGCTATTTGCTTTGTGAATAATTATGATTAATTATGTTTTAAATTAAGGATTAAATATTTAAGTATGCCTTTAAGTAGGACATAGAAACTGATCTGACAACCTTTTTATTTGAAACATATTACAAGAACTTCATACTTTGTGCATTCCAAAGGTAATGAATAAGGATGCACTAAAAATCAGACAGCATATCAAAATTATCAATGATTTACTTTACGAAATGATATGAGGGAAATGGTTAAATAATAAAGGGCTAAACTGACGGGGCTACTCCAGCAAACATTGAAAGAATACAGAATGTAAAGAGACCTCAAACTAACTTGGATGAGAGTAAAGTGAACCTGTGTTTTGGTAGATCTAATCTGATCATTTATATAGTGCCTTTCTTTACAGATGTGTTAAGCAGGGCCGGCGGAACTTTTTTTAAAGTAGTGGGGGGGGGGCCCACTAGCATTTCTTTCCGATCATACAAAAATCTGCATAGACATTATATATTTTCTGCCAAAAATTGGGGGTGGGCACCGGTTTTGCCGGCCATGCGAAGCGCCATAAGTTAAGATGCTCAACTTGCAGTTCAAGGTTCTGTTGAAATACCAGGATTTTTCCGATGACTAAAAAACAATTCCCATTTCTAAAATTTGTAATCGGTATTTGAAAATTAATTGAAAAAATCCCTTAATTGTGTGGAGTTAAAATCATAGATTTTGACGTTTTATCATTATCAACTTTTATTACAGAAGCTTTTTTAATAAAAAAAAAATCTTCAGAGTATCATTTAATTTACAGTAATTTATGCAGAAGTATTATTTACGGTAAGTCTACAGGTTGTTTAACTAACCTTTGTACCTTATGGCCAACTGTTTGTTTTAACTTGAAAAGTTAATAAACGATGTAATGTTAAACGTAATGTTAATCATTCATTGCTTACTTTATATATTTCAATATAGGTTTCAAGTTTCCAAATAAAAAAAAGTAGAGGAAAAAAATCCTTGTCATTTTAATTTTATTATTTGATTTATATATATATATATATATATATATATATTTTTTTTTTTTTTTTTTTTTTTTTTTTTTTTTTTTGAGCAAGAAAAATGAAAGTTTAAACACATTTTGATAGATAAAATAATGAAAATTTAATACCATTTTACATGCACCCTCCTGCAAAAGAGTAGTGTTTTAAAAAGTCGATAAATATTGTCGAACAGAACACCGACAAATTATTGCCCACGTCATAAATTTGTATCATTAAACCTTAATTCTTAAATTTAGCAAATGCAATAATAATACCAATAACAATAATATTATTAATACAATTATTAAATAATATTAATGAAGTAAATTCAATATTAATAGTAAAGATAATAACGTTTCTTCCGTTAAGTTGCCACCTTCATCTTACTGAAGATTCTGCAATTATCTACAAGGTCAAGGTCGATGCTAACCATAACAATAATATGTATTCATAGAAACATTAACAAAGGTCAGGTTCACACGAGAGCCCGGACATCCGGATTGGGAGCTAACTGTTAGTACCCGTGTGTGAACGTCCGATCGGTTAGCGCTAACCGTTACCAGGATCCGGATACGCTATCTGTTAGCAAACTGAGCGCGTTTCTGTCTTTAACCAATTGAAGGCACGCATTTCCAATTTCCAGTTTCCTATTGCCCACTGATCCGATCATCATCTTGTATCCGGATCGGGATTTTCTCGTGTTCGCAAGATCCAGATGTTGCTAACCGTTAGCTGCCGTGTGTGAAACATAGCCTAGTAAAATGTCTTATCCTGTGGGAGAATTATTTCAAACCTTCGATAAGCCTACGAGGTAACAAATTAGAAGCTAGAACTACCTTGGAAGTTTTCAAAAATCAATTTGTTATCGTTGTAATTGTAATTTGAAAATACAGGTTACTTTACTTCCAAGAAGCTTTCGTTCAGGAACTTCTTTAGGGAAACATGTTGTCACATGATCATTCAAGCATGAAATTGGATTTGATTAATCATGTGACAACATGATCATTCATTCCAGTACTATTGGTAGCTCGTATCCACGGTTGAGCGTGGGGTGCCGGCCTGGTCCGAATTTGCATCTTCTCAGCGATTAACAATTTCATGCTTGAATGATTATGTGTACTGTAAATGTATCTGTTTTCCTGAAGATGTAGTCGAGATAGTAACTACACTGCTTGAAAGTAAACTGTATTATATTTCAACTAATTCCAATTACTTCTTGAAGTTTTTTATAAAGCAACAATGAAGATTGGCCATTTGAATGGTTTACCACAAACGATCATCAACCTCAATATTATATTTTCAAGTACCGTAGCTTATCTCTTAAAGATGCAAGAAACCACACAGAGGTTAAGAAAAATTACACTGATCCATGATCAAACTAACATTTACAAACTGGCAACACATTATAAATATAAAGGAATGAATTAATATAATTCATTGTATTTATAATGTTTAAAACAACTAGACTCGATTGACGGACAGCATAGGCCTACAGCACTTGGGTTATACATGTTATATTAGAGTTGGTCAAAAAAGATCAGGTTATAGACAGCCATCGAAAATATGGTTCCTTATGAGATTGTTATATACCCTGGGAAGAAAGGCGGCTACAAATGAAGAAGTGTAAAGCATAATGTGAAAGTTTGAACTAAATTTTATGGCAGGAATGAAGACAACTTATAAAAAGATATAGTATTGGGTAGGTTGTATTGGAAAAAGAGGAAGGGAAAATTAGTAGATAGATGACGAAGACTGACAATCGACTGTAGAAGTTTTTGAATACAATGTTGAGAAAAAAAAAACAATTTGTCTTCTAAAAACTCTCAGAAGGAAATATTACTATCGATAGCTTTAAGTATCTTCTTAAGTTTCACCAAGTTGTCTGTGAATATACATAAAACAAAAGCTCTAAAAAACAAAATTGGTCGCCACCATAAACTGTGGTGATCAAAGAATAAAGGCTGATCCAGAGGTTGAAAAAAAAATCTTTACCTCCAATATAATCAAAGTGAAAGCGCTTAACCCGGCCCCTCGGGCCAAATTCTCCACCCAAAAGCCATAGGTCCTCGATTGTCACTGCCCCCTCCCAACCTGCAAAATAATCCTGAATCCGCCACTGATTAAGTAACCTAAAATATTCAAGTTATCCATTCAAATATAGAATTTTATTTTTTTTTTAATTCTAAGAATTGTTAACTGCTTCCATTCTTTACACCTAATTTTCTTTATCCTGCTCATCTACGCATTTAGGAAGCTCTACACATCTTATAGTGTGTCTTTACATTTTGTGTTCAAACTAAGGCTGGGCACACACACTGCTCAGATGGTTGTCAGCCGACGTATTCACGCAACGTGCAAATGCAACTTGACGAGAGACTTGCGCAACGGATCGTTTTGACGACATTCGCTCAGTCTGCAACTGGAAGTCAGCAAACGGCGTCGCGTCGTGACAAGCGCTCACTTGCTCTCACCAAGAACGGTAATGGGTTCATAGTTCAACGCAGTGTGCGTTTGGCTTTATAACTTAAAATAATAACATAAAAATAATAGTCTACAAACACCAATAATTATCATTTTGTTTCAATAACCTCCCCAAGATCTTCAATTATATACTTTTCAGGATTTGTCATGTTGCGCCTCCAACCAGCTCGAACTCGTAACTTCCTTCTACGAATTCTCCTCCTTTTGCTTTTAATAACAGTAACATTTTGTTTAGGTGGTGCAACTGGTACCTCCTTTGGAGGCCATTCTCCCCTTAATTTCATTAGTCTTATTTCCTCCTTCGCGTACGCTTCTTCCAAAAGGCCCTTTTCCTTAGCTTTGTAATATTCTTTTAAGAATGGTGTGTCCACAAAATCTGTTTCGTTTTTTATTTTAGCTTTCCAAGAAGGATAGTGGAATCGAATATTGAACCTTCGTGACCACCGTGCAAATACTGCTTTTTCGGTGACAAACTTGTGGCCCTTTGCTAGCTGTGTTTCACTCCACATATAGTAATCGCATTCTCGTTTAAAGTCCGGCTCGTAGTAATGGTACGGCGCTGTCTCATTCGGGTGCTCTCTGAAGATTGGTCCCCCCGTCCCTGTCTCTTATACACATCTAGATGTGTATAAGAGCCAGGCCCTATATAGAACGGGAGTTTAAACGCGTCTACTGCTAAAAAGGATTAATTCGAGCACTACTTAAATGTTACGTGATGTTGGTGAGAGAGGTATACAATATATTTAGACCGATTTTATATTATTATCATCACTATTATTATCATTATCATTATCAATATTATAAGGTTTATTTATACGGTGCTTACTTGCAGTAGTCTTCGTGAATCAATCCGTAGACGTCGATCCTGTCACAAACATCCATAGCGAATATCATTGTCATCCAACCAGTGGTCAGCCATGTATGTGCAGTGGACCTTCAAATTAACAATAATCATTAATTAATATTTAACATGAAAATGATTGCAAAATAACATATTATTATTATTGGATAAGATAAACCCGTCCTAATTATAGAATAATATTAATATGACAATTATATCCATTTTATAGTTGATAAGTGGTTTAAAAATATAACGATTTGTTTATTATCGTGTTTTTTTTTTTACTTTTGTAATGTAGATTCGAAACCGGACCCTTTAAATCATAGCTCGGAGAGCCCTTCTTGCGTTTGGGTTCTTAGGACGTTCACTACTAATCCTGCAGAAACTTGTCTAAATTATAGTCAAAAGAACATTTTCAAAATGCTTATCACCTACCGACTAAGCCCAGTTTCTTTACGGAAAAGATCCTCCGAGATTGTCATCTTGTTCGAAGTTAAAAAATAAAAATCAACATCTTTGTAATTTTTGGATAAGTTCATAGCAATATTGTAGATCGGATCCGTCTTTCTATTTATTTTCTCAGAGAAAAGCCACGGTATGATAAGCACTTCTGGACGAGTGTCTTCTCTTTGGAGGTTAATCTTCTGCATATCTGTATCGTTATGCAATCCGCGTTCAAGATTAACGTGACCTATCACTCGAACAGTTGTCCTGGAGCCTACGTCTTCTTCGTAACCGATTGTCGGCGCAGTATTCATACGGATAACGCATTCGGCGTCGTCGATGTCTCCCCCGGCACCCTTACCTACAAGTTGACCGGAACTCGATACCAAAGCGCACTGTGCACATTTGAAATATAATGGCTATGGAGAAAAACAAACACAAATTGTTATATATTTACTCAAATAATGTGTATTTCATTTACACAAAAATTAAATATAATCAAAATTAAATCAGCAAGTGTACAGCAACAATGACAATAATAAATCAAATGTACACATACTTTCATAAGCATATCAAACGCATAAGGTAGCCTACATTATGAATACATTGTAAAACAAATTAAACATTGAATAAAAAAATTACCAAGTAGGTATAAATCATCTACTAGTACGTCACAGATACGGTACGGTATTTGATTGTCTATGTCAATAACAGTAGCGGATTCAAGGGGCCCCAGCCGGCCCGGGCCCCCCTAAATTTTTGAAAATTATAAAAATTTGGAGAAAAAAAGAAAATTATATTCAAATTGTACAGTAAGTCCGGGAGTGCCATTTCCGGCCGTCTAGATGTGCCATAATCGTAAATGTTCTTACCTCAGCCCCAACCATGGTGGGCCTGAGGTGGAGAGACCGTCCATCTGTCAAAGTCCCTTACTGGGCCCCCTCTATTTAAAATTCCAGGATCCGCCACTGAATAGTGGCCTACCGTTGCTCGAATAAGCGCCGCGGCGCTTATAACATTTTTGGAGGCTTCAATACGGCGTTTATTCGAGAGCGGCGCTTTAAAACATAAATTGGCGTGGCATTTCCATGCCCGTTCCCATGTTACCTATCATATCATCCTACTCATCGTAGTGTCTTCATTGTGTTTATTCATTTTAACCTTGTATCGGTATACATTGTATTTAAAACCCTGTTTCTCAAAGTGTTTCATTAATACACACAGGGTAATTCGAAAAAAAGTCATCTTTGGTGAGGCGCTTATTCGAGAGCGGCGCTTTATTCGAAAATTGTTTACATTTATGCTTGAAAATGGGCGCTATTTTTAAAAAAGAACTTACACTTTCATCTCGCACACCAACATATCCTGGGACATGAGGTTCCTCGTCGTCACTGTCCAATTCAAAATCCTCCAAATTTTCCTGAATTTTTTCAGGTTTTTTCGTTACAAACTTATTCCACATTGGGTTACCCTCTTGAATGTCTCTCACATCGCGTGGTTTTTCTTTATAATAGTAAATGTGAGACATCTTTTGACTTGATTTGGTTGCAGATGAGTTGTTGTGTGTTACGTATATCAACAGAACTGACATCAGAGCAGAGTACCATAATGTGAACAATAATATCTTATCGGATGTCTGAAAAACGAAGAAGAAATTAGGGGCTTACTGTAAATCTTCTTATAAACTCAAAAACATACGTCCGCCCCTCATCATTTTTTAACCCACACCCCTGGCCCTTCCCCCGTACGCATGCAGTACCTTTTTATTTTTGTTATTTTCTTAATGAAAGATGACAAAGCCAAAACGCTTTTGTATGAGAAGAATTATTTCGGTGTGTACAAAAGAAATCATGAAGATACATTGTTAGTTGGACATGCCCAATTGAATTGTAAAGATTTTTTTTCTGGATACTTTTACAAAAGTGGAAGTAATGGGGGAAAGTTCGTAAACACTGGACTCGTGGTTCCTTGTTATTGTGTAGCTACATGTCACCGAAGGAACGTCGGAAAACATTGGTCGATGAACTATCAAAAGATATACTGAAATATCCTTATTTTGAATTAAAATTTGAACAAGGCTCTGCATTAAAAATTACCAAGGAGTAAATTTAGAAAGGAACATCAACGGCGCAATGACGTTGTGAAGCATGCCTATCCTTTAAGGAATAAATAGTGCTAAAGCGAAAAACTGTTGTTTGAATGTCATTTTTGTCTATATAATAGTGACTAATAGTAACCACATGATTTATTATTAGACAAGTGGGTTATTATTGAGCTAAGCAGTTGGCTGAGAGCTATTGTTCCTGCTCCTTGTGCTGAAGAACCCGGTTCAAACCTGGTCAGCGTCGGGTTTTAATTGAAGTCTGATCTATAAGGCTTGTGTTAGAAGAGCGATAACATAATGGCTCAGAAACGTGGAATGTGAAGTCAGTAGAAGAAGGTATCTTGAGGAGAACTAAAAGAGCCATGATTCGGAAGATGTGTTGTGTGAAACTGTCCGATAAAAAGAATACAAGGGAGCTCTCATAGATAGGTTGGGTCTGGAAGAAACTATTGTAGAAGTGGTAAGGAGAAGTGGATTGAGAAGGATGGGTCATGTGGTGAATAGGGAGGATGATGAACCCAGGGGCTGATCCAGGATTTGAAAGAGGGGGTTCAAAACGTTGCCAAAAACACCCAAAATGGAAGGAGGTCCGGGGGTCCTCCCCATGGAAAATTGTGATTCCTATATGGCCGGAAATGAGCTTTCCCGACTTCTGAGGAGTCTTTTAATGACCTTTAATTTATTTAACATTCAAGATTTTCCCCTCTTAAAAAAGGTCAGGTAATTTCATCTTTAGACAAATACATAGAGAGAAAAAAATCAAAGACATAGGCAATATATTATTATACAACAATGTATATATTCCAACAATATTGAGTAGTTGGATACGTAGTCTTTCTTCCATGGATCGATGAACTGATAGACATGAAGAACGCACTTTCGTACATAAATTATTACGACGTCGAACCAAAAACTTGTGTATAATTTTATTTAATTGAAGGCTAGTTGGGCTAAGCCTAGTTTGTCTGATCTGCCAACCTATGCCTAGCTAGGTTAGCAGGCATGGATCCAGGATTTTTCATGACCTTTGCACAGATGGGGTGGTCCTTGCAGTGGTGCATACAGAAATTTGAAATACAGGCTAACCAGAGAGGGACCTTCACAGATAGACAATTTTCAGTTTTTTTCTCCATTTTTATAAAATGATTTTGAAATATTTACGGGGCGGACCCGCGGGACGTGGGTACCCATTGAATCAGCCACTGTATGGGGGAATCCTCTAACGCTCAGGGTTTTAAATCAAATACCGTATATAGTACTACTCGCGTATAGGACAAGGCTTAAAATAGCAAATTACGATCGAAAAAAGGGAGTCGTCTTAAACACACGACATTCAAATTTTAGATTTTATAATCATGTTTGTCTTATTTGCGGATCGTCCGTAACACGTGAACTTACTCCTGTAATGAAGCAACTACATGTTTTATGAATGAACGCAATTTTAAATACTGAAAAATAAGATTTTGGTGGTGAAGATTTTAAAACTCATAAAATGGTATTAGGCCAATTTGGAAGATTACCCTTGCATTTGGCTCCATTTATCCAGCTAGATGCAGTATCAGGACCACAAAAAATTAGGAACTCCGACCATGAAACAGGGGGTCGTCTTATACGCCCGACATACAAATATCAACCAAAAATCTTCTAAAACTCGGGGGTCGTCTTATACGCGGGTCACCTTATAGGACCTACGCGAGTATATACGGTATTGCTTATTACGGAATTTCTATAAAAAGATAAATAAACTATAAACTAATTCTTGAGAGATAGGACTTAATGGTTGTTGTACAAGATTACTCAGACACACCTTGAATATCAACTATAAACAACATATATAATAACATGTATGTCAAGAACTCTATCTTAAATTTCTTAATGAAATATTAATGATGCAAATGAGCAACAATAACAATAGGTTTTATCACCATATTGTATTGTGTCAAGTTTGAAATAAATTAGACTTAACCAAACTATATTATCATAGTATAACTAGCTTCGATTACCTGATTAGTGAAATATTAATTATGCAAATGAGCAATTAGCATATTCATATATGTACAAAAAATGATAGGCTCCATCTTCTTATTACTATCTTACATTCTGCCAGGTTTGAAACCAATCAGACTTACCAAACTTGAGTTATCGTTGTAACTAGCCTAATTATCGGATTTAGGCTAGAAATACAAAATACAGTTCGTACGGTCAGTGTATAACCTCACTAAACACAATTTACAATGTACCATATACCCCAATACTTAACAATAATCATAAGTATAATGCGCCTAAACTACTACAAAAAACATAATATTTAACATACCATCATACCTTCATATACCACTTTTGATGCTATAATGCTTAGGTCCAATTAGTACAACAAGATCTTCGCAGAACTATCAACCAAGAATCACCCCTCTACTCGTGACAGTCTTTATACGAAACGATTAATATTACTACGCGCTGCGCTAATGACTCAATAAAACATTATGCATAAATTAGTCCACGCAATTGGCAGACTGTACTCCTGAATGCCGATCTCCAACATTACTAAACACCACCTACATTCTGTCTAGCTGTCTTAAATACAACTTATATTAATTTAAAACTGAAAAAAAAGTCAATTTATCCATTCAAAACGAAATTAGGCTAAATAATAAAGCACATAATTCTCTTCTCTTCCCTAGTCTCCTTTACGATGGCCCACAAGGGACACACTGCAAACAAAAAGAAATGCTGCAAACAAAAAACAAACGCTGGACACAAAAAAGAAACGCTGGACACAAAAAAAAAAAAAAAACGCTGCAAACAAAAATAAATAAATTAAAAAAAACCAAAAAACAAAAAAAAAAAAACACCAGCAAACAAAACAGAAACGCTGCAAACAAAAAAGCAAACGCTGCAAATAAATAATGGTAGCCCAGAGGGCGCATTTCATATTCATGACGACAGACAGGAGTCAGATATACATCAGTCGACGGAGTAAAGCCATGTTTTGCACTAACTGTGGAACAAAAATTTCAGAATCTGGAAAAAAATTTTGCCATTCTTGCGGTGAATTTTCACTGTAAATGGAGCATTCAGCTTCTTATAATACACGAAAACGACAATGTCTAAATGAAAGTCCATCATCAAGTAGGCCTAATCTTGCTGGTCTGTCATTTGAGGCTTTCAGAGACATGAAAGAAAAGGAAATGATCACTAGATTCACAAAGAAAGTCGTGTCAACGAAAATAGAGAAGAAGCCCGAGGTCACCATACAGATCGGTCTTTTAAAGCTTTGTGATGTTGTGCTGAAAATGTCAGGGGATCATCCCTTCCCTTGAATTTTATTTAACCACGGAGGCCAAGATCACCACTGCAGGGTTGTTCTTGCCTCCGGCAGTGCATATAGGCCTACATACTAAACAAAATAACTGTATGCATAACTATACACAAGTTTAAAAGAAACTGCAAAAATAGATAGATCAAAATAATGTATTAATTTTATACTTATGGGCCGAGTGTTGCAATTTGCATATCTTATTTGCCTTTCCTGAACGGTTACAGACGGTTTCTAATTTACCCTTCATATTCGCTGTTTCGAAACTGTCTGCACAGTTTTGAAACCGCCCAAAACATCGCCCTTTCTACTAAGGTTTCTAATTTGCACAGAGCAATTTCGAAACTGCGCAGGTAGGTAAATTGCGTCCAACATTCCTATTTTTAATATACTGTAGGCCTATTAAACCAATTCGAGGACCTACCGGAAGAATGTTTTTTCACGAGAATAACGGATTCAGTGACACGAGGCCATCCTTCGCATTCGGCCTACTTTATTCAGATCTGAGGTTCGCAGACATGCTTTTTCTGTGCAAATGAATGGAACTCAAGTTATGGTTGTCTCAAGTTATAATTATTTGAACAGTATTATGCACAGTGGCGTATATAGAAATCTTGAATGGGGGGCTGATGAGGGGGGGGGGGGGGGGAGCTTGATGATCAGTCGAGGGCGCTAATTCGCAAAATGGTGATTTTAGGTGATTTTTAACTACTTGACCGTGATTTCTGTTGGGCGACTGGGGGCTGCGAGAATTTTTGGGGGAGGGGGTGGGGATTGAATTTATTTGTAGGCTTAGGTCTATGTTTAAGGTTGTTGAACATGGAACCTTAACGACCGGGTACATCTAATTATTCCTAATTTCCTTTTACCGCCGAGCCTACTGAGACTTATCTTCATGTTGTGAACCTGACGAACTCATTTTACAAATTGTTATTGGTATATTTCAGTCGCTACGGCAATTCTTTACAGTACGACTATGAAAACGTTTGAAACTTTGCAAACTTTTCGCAATCATTGAATAGAAGCGTGGGCTATCTTATATTTACACTGTGATAGAATATTACCATACAGAGTGTAGGCGTACAACAATTGACCTCACACCTCTGATTATGGCTTTCGTCAGTGGATAGATCCTTGAGAGGTACTCAAATTTTGGTGGTCTACCCACGGTAAGAAATCGCCACAACATAAATCTCAGCTTAGCAACACCCGAACTTATCAAAACTACCAAAATGCTAATACTTTTTGGTTATATGCCTATTTTGATGTTTTATAAAATGTATAGGGCCTACTATGGCTGTTAATGTTGATTCTTTTTTTAAAATTCAAAATATTAAAGTAGAATGTTATACTTAGGCCTATGTTCCAGACCTAACGTTTCATCACTAAACTAGTGGTTTCATAAGACTGGCAACCTATCTTTTTTTTCTTTTTTTTGAGTAGGAAAAAGATGGGTTGCCAGTTTGATGAAAAACTAGGTTAGTGTTAGTAGTGAAACGTTACTGAAAATAAGTGAGTAATATTCTACTTTAATACTTGGAATTTAAAAAAAGTATCAACATTAACAATTTATCCTCATTTCAAATGAATTTTTTTTTAAAATGTATACTATGCCTATTATTGTTTTGGCAATAAAGAAATAATTCAGTTTTATGAAATGGTCCTACACACTTCCTAACTCCTAGGACTTGCGACTTATTCAATTATATATTATAATAGTATTTTGAAATATCAAAATACCAATATTGTATAAAGTACTTCATACCGTATCTTGTGTATCTGAATTACAGATAGGCCTATTTTAGTTTCTTTTAAATACAATTATTACGGTATGCTATTTTTGATTCTAATGAACATCAACTGATTCAACAATAAAGACAAAAAATCCCGTTAAGTTATGCGTACAGTCCATGTCTACGAATTCAATCCAGAATAAGAGAAACAAAAAATATAAAATTACAATGTCAATGAATCGATGCTATTATCACAATAAACTTTGTGATAAGAAATATCAAATAAAAATTATCGTTAGACGTGTCACACCAACTCATATTCTTCAATTATATTTTCGGTATATTATAGGCCTACTTATTATATACAATAAAGAACTTGTTCATTCTATATTCCTATCTTTGTGAGCCCTACATCTAGATTATTTATACTTCGTTGTGAGCGAATCACATGTACACAGTTATAATTCTGGGCTTCGTAAAGCGACTACTTGTAATGGCAATAAACATTAAAGCAAATAATACACGAATAATTGCGATATTTTAGAATTAAAAACGTAGGCCTACTACGCCCTATAAATAAGTGAAGAGAACAAGTGTCTATGCAGATTTGTTGATGGCTCTGTTCAAAGTATTTACACTAAAATTTAACTAGGTTATGGATTAGAAGTAGTGTCGCTATTGAAAAATATGTTTACTAATGTAATTGCTAAATTAATGTTCGAACTTACCAGAAATGGTTTTTTAACTGTAGTCATTCTGCTATCCCTGTTACGCATACCGTTGTTGACTGTGAGCAGTCTGGTTCAAAGACGGCCGCTGCTCGTGGGCTTGCGGGCTCAAATATAATTTGGACTATGAACTGACAAACGAATTCCTGGATGTAATCAGTTGGTCAACATGAACAATTTTTATGGCAGGAAGTATGGCATTGTATTGGATATTTTAATTTTATTTATTTATTTTTTCCAACAAGTATCGATTTTGTTTCGTTCATAGACCCCATGGTCTAGGATATGTATTAAATTCCATCGGCCGATTTATTTATTTTAGCTCTTTTACATTAATAAGCTTAACATTTCATTAAAGCCGTTCTCCGGAGGAAAAATGTTTGATATGTTGTACAACTGATATTTTAGACACAAAAATAATGTTTGACCAAAAACGCAGGAACGGTTAATGAGATTATTGATTATTTAAAAACTGGGGGTAAGAGGGCGTAACCACCCCTTTTCCACCTTTCTCCCAAGCTTTCCTTGTTTTTCTGAGTTTTTCATCAAACATTAGGCCCTATTTCTGTGTTTTAGATAAATCAATTAAAAAACATATCAAAAACTGTTTTCCCCAGGAGCCTGACTTTAAACGAGAGAAGTTAAATCACATCTTTTGATGTAAGTTAAATAAAAGAATTTTTTTAAAAATAATTTATATTACATTTTAATAGAATCCAGTGGCGGATCCAGGAATTTGAAATAGATGGTGCCCAGAGAGGGAATCTTACAAATGGAGGGTCCATAGCACCTCAGCCCTCAGGGCTGAGGTAAGAACATTTAAGAAAAATTATGGCACCAGATGACCGATAGTGGCACTCTCATACTAAAATTTGAATATAATTTTTGTTAATTTCGAAAATATAGGGGGTGGGGTGGGCTTGAATGGAATTGTATACCTTCTGTGAAATCCATGAGCCAATTCATAATCGTTAACAATCATTTCATTCTACTTATATTAGGCCTAATTGGAAAAAATAACATTCTTAAAATGTTATCGATCTTGGTTAATACTAATTATGCGTAACCAATTATCTAGCATCCATAGACATTTCAACTGTTAGAGAGATAATACCTGGTGTCAGGGGTGGAGTCTAAACTTTCCTGACGGGGGTCCGACTCCTGGCGATACCGTGAGTGGGCGTGGTCGGGCGTCGCTCGAAATCTCCCGAAAGTTATTCAGGAGGTGAGGTGTAGCCTCAGAAACTATTACAATTTAGGGTTTTAAAGGCAAATTTCAACAATTTTAGAGTCAACTAATATGTAAAAAATATTTTTTTTAAATCTCCCCGACGAACAGGGGCCAGCTTTCCTCTGCTTTGTGTACATTTACAGCCCCTGTGGTGGACGATTAGAGTTGCTGCACCGGGTTACCGGGTAGCACAGACAAAAAGGGACACTTAGGGGCGAAGAAAGCTTTTGATCATCATCATCATTTTCATCATCATCATCATCATTGTTATTATTATTAATAATTTGATTTTTTGATCATCATCATCACTACCAATAATAATAATAATAATAATAATAATAATAATAATAATAATAATAATAATAATAATAATAATAATAATTATTATTATTATTATTATTATTATTATTTTCTTAATACACTAAATTCATGCCAATTAGTTCCACCTCTCCCTTAAAATGTATGAAATATTCTGTTTATTATTCATTAATATACCGTACTATTATGCGTTGGTTTTCTGCATTTTCGTTGATTTCTTTAAGTTGGTCACAGACCATTTCTGAAAGGGCTACCCACTTAAAATTTGAAATATAATTTTTTTTAAATGAATGGTTTATAATAATAATTATTATTATTGTGCAGGACCATTTACGAAAGCCTATTAGGGCCACTGAAATATATATTTTTATGACGTAATTACGACTTATTATGTCGAAATTTCGACATAATAAGTCGAAATTTCGACATAATAAGTCGAAATTTCGACGTACGTATGTCGTAATTTCGACATATTATGTCGAAATTTCGACATAATAAGTCGTAATTACGACATACTATGTCGAAATTTCGACATAATAAGTCGTAATTACGACTTACGTATGTCGAAATTTCGACATAATAAGTCGTAATTACGACATACGTATGTCGTAATTTCGACATATTTATGTCGTAATTATGACATAGGCTTGGGCCACTGTACGTATTGTTTCTCGTCAGCTTCACGTATGTACGATTGAAAAGTTGTGACTTGCAGTTGAGTGATATTTTAATTTTGAATTTCATATTTTCAGTTATAATTTCAAAATTCTGAATACACATGTCCCCAAAAGAGCAATTAGCTAAAAAGTACATTTTGAAAAATGTGTAAGTTGAGTGGGTTTTTCATGACAGGACAGAAATAAATTAAATATAAAAATACTGTTTTAATAATGATAATATAAATAATAACTAGAATTACTCCTTTTACGCTACGTAGTAAAATGATAGCCTCCCAGCGGTGCAATTTTGTCCGGTAC